GCCCGCGGAGCAGCTGCAGAGGAAGGAGCCCAGCGTGTTCTCGCACTTGTGGCTGCACAGGCGCCCGGAGTAGCGCCGGCACTCGTTGATGTCTGCAACGCAGCGGGCGGGGCTTAGGGCACGGCCTCCCCTCCATGTCCCTCAGCTCCTTTCTCAGACGAGGGGGCAAAGCGACTTGTCCCCAGAACAGGGCAGGTCAGCAGGAAGCCAGGGCCACATGGGGCCTGCCCCCCCACTGGGCCCACCCCCTGGGCCCCCCTGCTCCTTCCAGGACGATGCCTCTGGGTGTGTGCCTGCCCCTGAGTTCTCTGCCCCAGAGCCCCGAGGGCAGGGCGGGTCCAGGGGCTCTGACCAAGGGTCCCTGGGGGTGGGCGGGGCAGGCGAGCCAGCAGGGTCTGTCCCTGCTCCCGGAGGCTGGCGCCATGCTGTCTGTTCTCACTGCCCTGGCTGCGCGCACAGCTCGGGGCCTGCGGCCCTGCAGTTGGAGAGTGAATCTCTGGGAAATCACTAATGTTTGGGGCATTTTTCCAGAGGCTGGAGCCTCATAGACACTCGGAGGTCTGAGGTGATGGGAGCACCCGGCGTGCAGGTGGGAGACCGGCTCAGGCCGGGGGTAGGGGGGCTGCAGAGCCGGAACCGGATGGGTCTCCGGACTCAGGGTCCTGCTCTGAGGAGCAGTCCATGGTCACTCCGGGAAACACGGGCTGGTTCTGTTGGGTGCCATCTGGCCGGGACCCCACGCACCCACACATGTCCTGCTGATGCCGTCGAAATAGAAGCCGGCCTTGCATTCGCAGCGGAAGCTTCCAGGGGAGTTCACGCAGAGGTGGCCCGGCCCGCAGGGTTCCGAGGGCGGTGCACACTCATCCACGTCTTGCAAAGAGAAAGACACATTGAACACCTTCAGTGTGTGTGTGTGTGTGTGTGTGTGTGTGTGAGTGTGTGAGAGTGTGTGTATGTGTGTGTGAGTGTGAGAGTGTGTGTATGTGTGTGTGTGAGTGTGAGAGTGTGCATGAGAGTGTGAGTGTGTGTGTGAATGTGTGAGTGTGTATGTGTGTGAGAGTGTGTGTGTGAGAGTGTGTGAGAGTGTGTGTGTGAGTGTGTGTATGTGTGTGTGTGTGTGAATGTGTGTGTGAGAGAGTGTATGTGTGTAGGTATGAGTGTGTGTATGTGTGAGAGTGTGTGAGTGTGTATGTGTGTGAAAGTGTGTGTATGAGTGTGTGTGAGAGAATGTGTGTGTGTGAGAGTGTGTGTGTGTGTGTGTGTGTGTGAGAGTGTGTGTGTAAGAGAGGGTGTGTGTGTGTGTGTGTGAATGTGTGTGTGAGAGAGTGTGTGTGTGTGTGTGTGTGTGTAAGAGTGTGTGTGTGCCCCCAGGATAGTCAGAGGGAAGGAGCAAACTGAAAGGCACATGACAAAGCAGCATCGTTTATGCTTCAACACGATTTCCCAAGCACCTACTGTGTGCGGGGCCCAGGCTGGGAGACAGCTGCCCCTGCCCGCAGGGACTCGGGTCACAATGACCTTAGTTACGGCAGCAGTGCCCGCTGACGGGGAGACGCTGAGGGAATGCTCTGGGGGTGACGGGGAGGAAGGCCCCTGTTGGCCCGCAGGGTCTGGGCCCTGGATCCAGGACATGGAGGGCAGGTGGGCAGAGGGAGCAATGCAAGAGGGAAGGGAGGCCTGTTCGGGGAGCAGCAGGACCCACTGCACCTGGATTAGACGGCGTGTGAGGTCGGGGCCGCTCGGGAGGACTGCGCATAAGCAGGGCACCTGTGTCTCTCTGTCACCACTGGGGGCTGAGCACGGAGGGGCCGGAGAGCTTTCAGCCCAGGACTGGACCGAGCGAGAGGGACGGAGCTGGGGCGGGGCGGCTGGCATGCTACTCCAGCGTCCAGGCAGCGCCCACCAGGCCTGTGCCTGGAGACCAGCAAGGGATGGAGGAACGGGCAATGGCTGCCCCCTGGGGACGCACTGTCCCCACAGAAGCAAGGCTGTGCTGGGCGCAGGAGAAGAGTCCGTTCCGATCGGCTTTCTTTTTAATACCAACCCACACAGCGGGTGCCCTCCTCGTTCAGATGGTAGCCACGGCCACAGTTGGGCACGTTCTTCTGGCACGTGTACGAGCCCTCCGTGTTGATGCACGTGTGCCCGACGGGGCACGTGGGGCTGATACTCAAACACTCATTGATATCTGCAGGGGAGAGACAGAGACGCCGTGGTTAGACACAGAGCGCCAAAGAACCCCCACCCCCTCCCCTGTGCAAAGCCACAAACAGGTGCGACGACCGCCCTGAACAGGCAGGGGCCTCCACTGGCCCCAGATCTCGCCAGCACACACCCCCTGAAACACCACCTCCCTGGCCCGTCTTCCCGCCCCTAGATCTCCGACACCTCCATCTTCCTCGGCACCGAGTCCAAAGCTGCCGCCCGGCTTCCCGCCCCTCCACTGTCAGGACCCCTCTGAGTCCCACCGGTGGGCCTGGCCACCTGGGTGCCACCCGTGTCCCACTGCACGGGTATACCGGGCACCCTCCCTGAGCGGGCGCGGGCCAAGGGAGACAGGTGGCCAGCCCCTTGGCGCCAGCACCCTGGCCCCAGGGAGGCTCTGTGCTCTCCGGTGACTGGCCTGGCCCCCCCACCTCCCACGCAGGTCCCACCTCTCGGCCTTTATGCACACGGTCCCTGCCTAGGAAGCCACCTCCCCCGTCTGCCCAGCTTGGTGCCACCTTGAAGGAGACACTTCCTGCCCGCCCCCACCTGGGCCCTCGGGGCCTGCGCTGACTCCCTCGCTGACGGAACACGCCCCCACACAGGGCCCTGTGATGAACCCGCACCAGCCAAGATGCGCCAGTAAACAAACAAGGAGCGCTGCGCACACGTCCGTCCGCTCACTCCTCCCGCTCAAATCGGTGCCAGACCCACCGCCTGGGCGTCCTGCTGGGGGGCTTCTCAAAGGACCTCCATTTGTCAGCGTCAGGCAGACACTTACAAAGCACCTACCAGGTGAGAGGACCGTCGAGGGCCCCCAGGCTGAAGGCAAAACGAGGGCTCAGCCCTCAGCCACGCCCACCCTCCTCAGACAGATCAGCCTGCTGCTCCACAGCATGTCCCCTGCCCTCGGCCACAGAGCACACAGCTGCCCTCGCAGGCAGGGCGGGCTCTTATCTGCGCTGTATAAACAGGAAGCTCCCGCTCGAGGCTGGAGCCGCTCAGAGTCTGGGGCGGGGTCTCAGCCTCCCCCCCTGCTGGTAAAAGCCGGGCACTGGACACAGCCCGTCCTTCATCTGCCCTGGAGGCGGCTGCCAGAGACCCTGTGGCCAGCGGCGAGGCTGATGGCCGCCATCTAGTCCTTCAGAGAAACGTGGGCCTCTGCCCGTGTCAAGGATGAATGCACGTTTAGCAATGACAGCGCTCCCTCCCTGCGAAGCCCTGCGCTCCCCAGCAAGACCTACAGTTCCCAAACTCTGTGCCATGGAACCCGGGTGCCCCTAGAGACGTCGTGTGCTCCAGAGAGGGGGTCCCAGCCTGCGAGCTCCATGGCAGAGGACCAGGCGACCACTGAGTGAGTGAGTGAGTGAGTGAGTGGGAGAGTGAGTGGGAGAGTGAGCGAGTGGGAGAGTGAGCGAACAAAGACCAAATACATGAAAAAGATCTGAGGAGTTTGGGAACGCCCTGCCCCACCTCTCCCTCACCCGGGAGGCCCAGGATACCAGCTGTAAAGGACCCGTCCACTCTGTTTAACCCAATGACCTTGGAACCGTTCACTGCCCCCTGTGCCCCCGGGATCCGGGACCATCAGAGACCCGCCTGCCCTGGCCCATTCCCTCGGCCTCACTGAGCAGAAAGAGAGACGGTGAGCACGTGAAGGGACTGGAAGGAAAAGGAAACCCACAAAGATGTGGGTCTCAAGGCCCTCGGGGACCAAGCCTCACGGTCCTAGAACTCTCTACGCTCTACAATAGGGAAAGAGGGCCCTGCTCTCCGGGGCCTGTCCGCCCTGTGCCCTGGCCCGCAGGC